TCTTTTCCTTTATGGTTTTGGGTTTTATGTCCTGCTTAGAAACACTTCCCCTACCTCAATATTATAAAATGTTCATTTCTGTAGGGCAACAGTTAATGGTAAGTATAGAATAGTGTTTTATTGTTTCATCTATTTAACACATATGATGGCCTCCTTCTAAATTTTGTCTAGCTCAGGCTTTTTCTTTTTTAAAATTAAGTAATTATTTTTTTTATGGTGACATTGGTTAACAAAATCCAGTAAGTTTCAGCTGTACACTTTAACAATAAGGCATATATATATTTATACTGTGTTTACCTCCCATAGTTAGATTTCTTTCTGTCACCACATATTTGACCCCCTTTACCCCGTCTACCTCCCCGCTTCCCCCTTCCCCTTCCCCTCTGGTAACCACTAGTCTATTGTCCATGTCCATGAGTCTCTGTTTGTTTGTCCTATTCATTTGTTGCTTTTAGGGCTTTTCAACCTTAGCTACACATGGGACCCCTTGCAGTGATTGAAAACAGTTCCGACACCTGGTCCTATCTCATCGGTGCTGACAGGATTTCTGGAGTGGATCTCAGGCTGTGTATTTAAAAACATATTTTTACATATGTGTGTGGTGTGTATAACTATGTGTAGCATTATTCTAGATCTGGAGTTTGTAGCTCTCAGACCCAACTCTACCTTTCCATGACAATTTTTATTGTACTCTACTATCTTGAAATGAAATTTCATAGGTATTACAATCTACCTAGTTATATATTTTCAAAATTAAATATCAATATAATGCCACAACTGGAACATAAAAGAGAAAGAAAATTAAAACAACTTGTAATAAAATAATACATATTTTAATATAACTGCTTAGGTGTGACTAGACTAAAAGACATAGACTAAGAAGTCATATACATGCACCTATCCAGAGTCACTGTGAAAAAGGAAGTATAAAATAGAGATCAGAAAATGTGTTTTATTAGTAATGCAGATACTTTAAGTGGTATTGCCTTCAGTGACATGCTTTTATGAAATGTTGAATAACTTTTGACTTACCTAGAATATTCAGTGCTATTAAGACTGTAAAAACAAACTTTTTGTTTTTATATACGAGAGGAGGTTTAGTTCTAGGCTCAGATAATTACAAACAAGTTTGTTACCTTTATAGGATGTCCGATTGGACATTTAAAAGTTGCGTTGTATTTGGAACAGTCCCTCATGGTATGGAACTGCCCTACACAGCATGTCCAGCATCTCTGGTTCCCAGCCACTAGTGCCAATGGTGCTTCCTAAACATCGTGACAGACAAAAATGCCACCGCAAATTTTCCAGACAGCTCAAGATTAGGATCATCCCCATTGAGAACTATTGATTTAGTTAATTAGTTTATGGTGTGAATCAATAAAAATACTGTAAAACATGAAACTGTATAGATTCTGAAGTTGGTTTTTGTCATGCATGTACTGAAAAATGGAATTAAATCACAGACATCTTCATTTCCTTTTTTTCCATCTAAAACTCTTGTTTCCCATTGTCTTGTTTCTCAACACAATATTTTCATTTCCTTTGTCTTTTATGCTAATTTGTCCTTATTGTACATCATTGTTAATTTTCAACTACAAGAACAGAAAACATTACAATCAGTATTGTGAATAAAATCTTAATTATATCCTGTATTTGCAGTAATGAAAGAAAACAGGAAAAAGTAAATCAAGAAGTTTATGTTTGAGGAACTGGAAGATATATAATGTGCCATTGAAATCTAGACCAGGATTAAAGTTTGTAGAGTGAGGATAATGCCTAAAGTTTTTGTATGCTTCTGGGGTTTTGCTTCAAAGTCAAATGCACTTACTTAAAGATTTTGTTTAAGCCTTTTCTTGGTCTGCTTATACTAGTATGGCTTATAAGATGTGATAGGTGAAGCTGAACAATAAATCCTAACAATTAATGTTTCAAAAACATGGATTTTACTATCATGGTAAGAAATGGAGTGGCCTGTAAAGTTGATAATGTATTACAGACCAGTTTCAAGTTGTATGATTGCTTTCCATATTTACATAGATCTGATCTGGCTTTTAGATGAAAAGAATGAACATCTTTTTTGCTGAAGCAAATGGTGAGATAAGTATGTTGTCTGATGTTTTCATGCAGTGATCTAGGAATAGTTTTGAGAAACATATTGTTTAGTTTCTAATTACTGTTGAGAAAACAGAGCTCAATATAAATTATGTTACAGTCCTAAAATCGCTTTTGACAAGAATTTTCCAAAATTTGGTTGTTTAAATAATGCCATCTGACAGGTTAGTTGATTCCTTACCTAGGGGTACATTTTGTAGTTCCTTCACTCTGGTAAGCTACCAGGAGGATGAGCTGCTCAAAACTGGAGGTTTTAACAAAGGAGTAATGGGTGATCTTTTGTAGTTGAGATAAGTATTGGTTAAAATCTGCCATTAATATCTTTTGGTCCAAATTATGTCAGCCTTATTTCAGTAGGTGCAGTTTTTTTTCAGCTGGCCACTTACTCAGGCTTTGAGAGGAGCCAAAGGAGCTTTCTCAGAGACTCGCTGGCACTGTAGTTCATTCCCGCTCACACGGCTGGTACATTGAGGGCACCTATCAGGCTTCTCAACTTTTAATACCAAATGAGAACTCTTCCACCAAAGTTATGGTTCTCCCTTCGGTCAGTAATCACGAATGTCAACACTGTAGTTTCCTGTCAGCATGAAATAATAGAGAATTTGTCTACTTAACCCAGTCTCATTCAAAGACCAGATGAAAGAAAGAGAGTGTGTATGTATATCTGAGTCAGCATATGCCAACCTAACTTCCCAAAGGATGGCAGTTATAATCATGGGAAACTGCGTTAACTAATCTATACAAGATTCTTTAATGAAGAGCTTTTTAGAATTTCCGGTAAGCTAAATATATTTCGAATCTCTAAGCAGGGTCTGTATTATGTAGTGTTCTTCAAACTTATTTGACAATGGAACCGTATTTTTTTAGGGATCTTATACATGTTGGTAATTGCTAATTTCTATTCCATGACTAGCCTCCTGAACAATAGTGACATTTCCCCACCACTGAGTTACATTTTAATATTATGCCTTTTAGTGAGTACTGACATTAGAAGCGGCTGTATGGAAGGCCATCATAGTTGTAAACTATTGTTGAAGATATTGTCCAGTATGTTGATTAGCATTCTCACAATAAAATCCTCCTGTGATTTAATACTTGGTAAAGCTATGTGTTTTTCTTTTCTGTCAGATGAGAATTATATAAGCCATTGTGCTTTTTTTTTTTTTTTTTTTGCCTTGCCTTGCCTGTAAGGCAACTCAAATAAATGTAGCACACAGCACAGTAAATTATTTAGCTCTCATGTTTAGCATACTAAGTAGAATTTTTACTCTCCCCTTTTGTATTTATGTAACTTAGAGATTAAATCTCTGCTCTTGAGGCTCACTTTCTTCATTCTTAATATAAGGATAATATCTACCATTTGTATTATTGTGAAAATCAAATGAAATATTCTTTTTAATTGCTTAGTCATGTGTCTGACACATGGTAGAATGTTAAGTAAATGCTAGAGGACTTTTTTCATAATTTTAACATCTTCTGTTTTTAATTTTACAACCTTATTTCATACACATCTTTAATTTGAAGCAACTTAGTCTTGTTTAGAAGTGAGTGAAGTATAAATATTGAAAAAAAAAAGATTATAAACATCACATTAAGAACACTGCCATAGTGGATATGAAGGAATGAAGTGAGATAACCGTGAGAGGGGATGATAAAAGAAGTGATGTAATGATGTCTTCAGGATTTGGGTTATTAGGAGGTAGCAGCAGATAAACCATACCTTCACTCAGCAACTTGAAACAGGTAAATCTTTCTGAGCAAAATGCTGGCTTAAACTTGAACCTGAGTCACAATTTCAAAGTAGCTGCAGCTCTTTAGAAATTTTTGGTTGTGCTGCATATTTGTGCCATAAGTGGAAAAGAGAGAGTTCTTCTGAGGGGGATTCTATAGGCCCAGAAGTTGGGAGGCAGATTTATAATTTCTGAAATAAGAAGTGGCGTGAGCATCAGGGATTTCAGTGATGGAACTCCCAGCTCTCAGTTGGAACAGAACCTATTAGGCATTTGGTCTAGCTGTCTTACTCAGCAGGGCTAAATACTAGATACTCTGTATTTGATTTTAAAAGGAAGTATTCCTATATGAAGGGAGCCATGGCATTTCTGACCCAAGACTCAGGGAGAGAATGGCCTTCCGTTTAGTCCTCTTATCCCTGGTCTTGCAGGATCAGTGACGGGCTCACTGGTGTCTTCAAGCCACACCACCAGCACATGGCTAGGATCATGGGTTAAGTGACCATATAATTTATCATCTAAACTACATTTTCTTTTGTGAATGAAAAGGGCACTATTAATAATTAGGCCAGGACAATGTAAATAACAAGACAGTCCTAAGAAAACTGGACATTTCATCACTTTAGCTAATAACCCCTTTCTATGTTATCTTCAAAAACAAGATTTTATTTTTTTTTTGTTACATTAGCACTTCTGATATTTCTCTACTCATTGTAATAGATGGAAATTCAGAAATCTATCTGCCCTGTTTTGATTTTCCTAAATCATGTGTTTTATTTTCCAATTTGGAGCGTATTTTGTTTTTTTATTCAAAATCACTGTCTATTATTAAATCCTATTTAATCAGATAAAAGACCGTCTTATAAATTATTAAACAAGCATAATGATTCTTTCTTTGGACTCCGCCAGCCAGGTAATAACCAGGGGGCAAATTAAAGGACAGAGGTAAAGTGGAGGCTGGCAATGTCCATACCTGGTAACTGCATACTTGGCAAAGACTGAATCCTGGATCATTAATGGTATTAGAAAATGCTTTCATTTTCTATTTTTCAGTTATAGTTAGCCTGTTGAGATGAAATTAATATCGATAACTCTCAATGTTCAAACCAGTATAAATGAAAGTTAAATTTTTATGTCTTGTTTGTCCACTCTTAACAGAAAAAAGCTTGGCAGGACCACAAGCGGGAATGCAAATGCCTTAAAAGCTGCAAACCCAGGTATCCTCCGGATTCTGTCCGACTTCTTGGCAGAGTTGTTGTCAAACTCGTGAGTATAAAACTTGTGAAATATGCTTGGGTTTTCATTTAACAAAAGCACTCACAGTTGCTATAATTATTCTTATTTAAGGCTGAATTTTAAACCCACGTGAAGGCAGAAGGTGGGTTATTCCAGGGAGTATCTTAAGACAAAAATTTACTGTTTTCCTGTTAATCGTGGCATCAGTGGCAGTGATGAAGTGCATGGCCCCTTTTTGAAGGCCCTGCGTGATCTCCTGGGGATGGAGACATAAGGTCCTGTATATCTGGGGCATGAGATGTTAGTAATGTCTGTTACAGTGACTTTCTTTTTTACTGTGAACTAATGTACAGGGCAAGTATATAATTTTCTTGGTTGCCTCTTCAAGTGAGATTTATTTAGATAATTAATCTTACGTGGAGGAGTGCTTATTTTTTTATTTATAGCCAAGATTCGATAAAAGTGTTTCTCTAGTTGTTTTCCTTACTCTGCCAAAACAGCTGGTGGATTCTGTGAAATCTCCTTTGGTGACACCTTCCAGAAATTTTTTGGGTTTAGCTCTTCAGGCTTTAGATATTCAGGCTTTAGCCTGAATATCTCTTTCTCAATTACTTCCAGTTCTATTCTGTCCTGTTGTTTATCGAGTTTTTTTGGCTCTAAAATTTTATACAGGGTTTTAAGAATATACGAGTATTATCGTGTACCTAAAACTAATACAATGTTATATGTCAAGTACGTCTCAATTTTAAAAAAATGGATTTGGAATACCAAATGGGCATTATCTTTGGACTGAATATAAAATATCTGTCACACATACTTACCACTATTTTTAAATGTGTACATTGTATTGAACTAAAAACAAATTTATTTCAAAGCACTAGTAAATTCAGACCAACTTATGCATTTCTGTAATCACTGTATATGAAAAGTATAGTTACTATTACATTTGAGTCTGAACATTTTTGCTGCTTTATTAATATAGAAAAGAAATGAGTTGCTTCAGAATCACCCAAGGCACTAGTTGTTAGTCTCCACCCCTGACTTACTGAATCAAAATCTAATAGAAAACAATTATAATAATAGTTACCTTCTATTGAGCTTACTATTTCCGGGCCCTGTGGTAATTGAAACATGATATACCTCACTTCATCCCCGCAACAACCCAGTGAATTAGTGCTATTATTACTCCTTTGTTTCAGATAAGGAAATTGATGACCCTGAACTCAAGATTAAGTAATTTGCCCAAGATTGTATAGTTTGTAGTAAATTATCATTTTTATCCATCTTTGCTTTTTTATAGGAATTAATAATAAAATCCTTAAAATACTATAAGTCTGTAGGTAGATTTGGGGAAAAAATAAACTTATGAAAACTTCTTGTAAAAGAGTTTTGCATTTGGAAATTAAACTGGTGGTTAAGTCACAACTTTTATTTTATTTTAATTGTTACCGATCAAATAATTCAGCTCTAAGAAAGTGAAGAGAAGGAATTACTATATAGAAAATTTGTAACAGACTTTCATTTAAATATCTAAAGATACTCAAACATTTTTATTTATATATTAGAGCACTTGAAATTAATTTTGGTGTTTTTTCCCCTTTACTTCATAGATGGAAGAAACCCCCTCTGAATCGGAGAAACTTTACTCATTTTATGATCTGGAGTCAAGTAAGTGATTGTCTATCAGCATCTAAAAAAAAAATTCCTATTATTTATTTGTCGAGCTGGTCAGTTGCTTCATTTTTAACTTTTTTTATTTTTGTCTCTCCGTTATGTGAGGCAAATCTAACACTAGCTTATTTAATTTATTCCAGGATAGCTTTGGCCAATAGGAGTTTATAAAGAGCCAGCTTAGGCAGTAAGGGGAGTGTAACCCTTAGTCCAGTTGAGAAAATAATTTTTCTTCTGTTTCTACCTCATTCTCTTTGCACTCTTGGTTTCTTTTTAATGTCAGAGAACAGTGATGTGAACAGGAATAGAGGGTTTTGGGGGAGTTCCAGGGAACATTTAAGGTCACTAGTCTTTTAGATTATCAGGAAAGTAGAAGGTACAGATGACATGAGCTCTCTGACAGCAGTGAGCGTTGTTCTTCTCCTGAACTACCACTCATAGAGTAAATTTGCTACCCAGTTTAATATTTCTGGATGGAGACAAAGAAAATGATCTAGTACAGAGTTTATGGTTATGGGATCCTAAGTGCCAATGATAAGTTATTATTTAAGAATCACCAATCATTGCAAATCAAAACTACAGTGAGATACCGCCTCATACCCATTAGGATGGCAACTATCAAAAAGAAGAATAATAATAAGTGTTGATGAGGATGTGGAGAAATTGGAATCCTTGTGCACTGTTTGGTGTGAATGTAAAATGGTGTGGCTGATGTGGAAGACTGTAGAGAGGTGCCTTAAAAAATTAAAAACAGAATTAACATCTGACCCTGGATTCTGGTTATATACTCAAAAGAACTGAAAGCAGAGTCTTAAAGAGACATTTATTCATCCATATTTGTAGCAGTATTATTCACAATAGCTAAAATATGGAAGTAATGCACATGTCCATCCATGGATGAATGTGGTATATGTACGCAATGGAGTCTTATTCAGCGTTAAAAAGGAAGGAAATTCTGGCGCATGCTACAACATGGATGAACCTTGAGGACATTATGCAAAATGAAATAAGGCAGTCAGAAAAAGACAAATACTGTATGATTTCACTTATATGAGGTACTTACAGTAGTCAAAATCATAAAAACAGAAAGTAAAATGGTAGTTACCAGGGGCTGGGGAGAGAGATGAACGGGAAATTATTTTTTAATGTGTATAGAATTTTGGTTTTACAAGATGAAAAGAATTTTGGTTTTACAAGATGAAAAGATGGATGTTGGTGATGGCTGCACAACAGTTTGAGTATTTAATACTACTGAACTGTATACTTACAAATGGTTGCTAAGGTAAATTTTACATTATGTGTATTTTTACACAATTTAAAAAAGAAAAAAATAATTGGGATAATTGTTCTGTTGAACAAGTAATTTAAAGAAAATGTGTAGACTTGACCTGAGCAGCAGAGTTACGCTGTAGTCCAATGTGATGTATTATTTCAAGTTTTCATAAAGAACTAATCAGCCATTTTTTCTTGTTATATTACTGCTAAGTAATTAACATGTCTTACAGTGTTTCACTGTGAACATTAGCCCTGCTCAGAAGTAGTGTCATATTTACTGCCTTCAGTGAAATGCTCTCAAATGTTATCATCAGATTGTGCACTCTTAGCCTTAACACCTCTTTGTGGGGTAAATTACACCGAGTTTTTAAAAAGGTGATATTGCCTTTGGAACTTTCTTCTTCTCTTGGGGTTGAAGCAGCATCATATCTTATTTATTCAACCAGAAAATAACTTGAAGTTGAGATTTCTTTGGTTGATCCATCTTTTCTTCCTGATGTACTTTATATGTGACAAATTTCACCAATTTGAACTTTAGCTAAACTTTTCAGTCCTCGTTTTCTGGGTTTTTTTTTTTTTTTTTGCCTTTGAAATGGTACTGTTTACCAGTTAGTCATGAGCTGGTTATAAATTCTTTCACGGAAAAGTCTGCTTAAATTCACTGACTTAATAAGCATTTGTCATGGTTTGAGCATGTATACAGGATAATGTAGAAAATCTGGTAACAGACATCTTGACTGATTTTGTTTTTAATGTTTTTTTCATTTCTATGTGTATATATTTTGTTTTGACAGGTGGTTGATCTTATATTGTAGATGAACTTTGGCAGAATTTAATTGATATTGTATGTATTATGATTTGTTGTTGTCAAAAAGAAATGGCTATGTATTTGCTCTCTGTCAGAATGGAATCTAGGGCAGGAAATATCTAGTTTAACAGCTACCATTGAACACCTGAAAATTATTCATTAAAAGTTCACTGTGTGATCATACTATTTATTTTTCTTTAAAAAAGATATTAACAAACTGACCGAAGATAAGAAAGAGGGCCTCAGGCAACTTGCAATGACATTTCAACACTTCATGAGAGAAGAAATACAGGATGCTTCACAGCTGCCACCTTCTTTTGACATTTTTGAAGCCTTTGCAAAAGTAAGTGTTAAGTTTGGTATCTTTGCTAATACCATAAATCAACTCTTTACTCTTTATTTTGTTGTTGATCCATGAAAATCTGGATCCCTTCATGCCTTATCTCATTCTCTTACCTTAATGAGTAGAGAATGAAGGAATATATTGCTTATATTGAAAAAGGTGTTACTTTTTCTGTTTTATCACTATTCTTATTAATGGCCTGAGTATGTTCATTGTCTGCTCTCAAAGCATTTTCTCGAAAGAAAAAGCATGTTTTCTTTTCTCAAAAGTAAGGAGCATATTACATTATTTTTAACTAATGGATTTAAGTTTGCCATTGCATTCATTTAGATTTCTGGTGGTGTTTCCGTAATAGAACTTGTCTTTTTGAAGTGAAAAATGTACTGGGATGCACTTCTTGATTAAGTGAATTCTAAATGATGTGAAAATATAACTGTTTCTGATTTAAAAATAATTGCCTAAAAGTCTGTTTAAATGTTTCAGGCCACTAAAATTCTAGGTTAGGGATAGAACATAGGTTTAATTTAATATTTGATTGTGGTCTTTTGGTAGTGACTACCTGAAGTGCTCTTTTGGGAAATGGTTCTGAGGGTTTGTAGGGGGTTCAGGGAGAAAGAATGCACTGATGGGTTCTTAATATATATCTTGATGTCCCTGGGGTAGGGACAAAGGATCAGATATGCCCACATTACTACTGTGTTTGCTGTCCTTGCTTTCTTATATATTGTGTGTTTGGGTTTGTTTAACTATTGATCACATTTTAATAACGATATTGCTACTTACTTTAGAATTTGTCAGGGCACATCTAATGACTTATTTATCCCATGAATATTTTAAGGTATGTTTTGTAATCTATTTTCTAAGAATTACAGTGTGATTAATGTGTTTACTAGAGATTTATTCTCGTTTTTCCCAAATGTATTTTTATTCTTTAGGGTATGTTTTTATGATTTTCTGGTAATATCATCTTAGCATTAAGATCCGGTTTGACTAAAATTTAAAATTGATATTAAATTATAGTGGTTATTTACAATACATTTGAGAAATTTCTCATGTTTATTTCATATTCTTCCGAAAATTATAACCTGTAGTGGTACCATGTATATAACACACAGTTTCTTTTGATGTTAAACACTATAAAAATAACACCTACTAAAAGATAAAAATATACTTTATGATAGCTGTCATTTCATAGCTAGTGTTAAGTCTGTAGCTATTCTGTGACAGTTGTTTCTATTGTTGGAAAATGTTCAAGTGCTAATTATTGGTGTTATTAGTATTTATGAAAAAATATTTAAAAATATCTTCTATTGCTCAATGTAAAATGTGAATTACTATCTTATTTCTCTTATTTCT